GAGTTATGGGTTATGATTTGTCTCGTTCATCTGCTTGAGCCGCGCGTTTCCACCGACCACGCCCTATCGCCCACCCTACCTACACAAAGGAATTTAACTATCGAGAGACATGTCAGCCTCGAGCAGACAAGCGAGTCAAGGTTACGTCGGCGGAAAACCAACTTAAATATAAGAAGAAATGGTTGAGGTCACGTTTCGCGATGCTATTCGGTGTAATTGATTGCATATTCTCTTCTTTATTGAAGCAACTAAGTCCCCTGCTGGATATTTTCCAGAAGAGCCACCTTAACTCTACCGAGGTTATGTAAACTAGGCTAAAATTTTTAAGGGAACTGCTGCAATTGAACTGAATGACTAAGATTCCTTCTCTAATGATTCTAAGCGATTTTTCCGACTAACACTTTCAAACTTTGCAAGTTCATTCGTCCTTAGTTAGTTAAAGACACTTAAAATAAATCTTATTTACTAATATGGTCATAACAATCTGCTCAACACCCATACATCCGACGAACATCAACCATCGACATCACGATATTTATCTTGTTATCGGAGATTTCAACTCTAGACTAGGCCAGGACAGTCATGTTGAATCTCCAGGGTAGTGGGTCCCCACCTTCTACACACGCAACTCAACAAACAACAACCGTGAGAGACTTCTTAACTTCTGCCTTGCAACGAACCTCCGACATGCTCAATCCAGGTGTCCCCACTCAATTGGTCTCGGTAGTGGACCTGGACCGGAGCCTATCAACTCCAGACGTAGTTAATCGATAAACCAATAATCGACAATAATCGATAGCAATCGATGTCAGTCATCGATGAATATCGATTACCGATACCGATCAATAGAAATCGATAAAGAAGAAAAAGTTGCGACTTCGATTAATATCGATGATTTTCCGATAGAAATCGATAATGATTTCTTATCGATTCCTATCGATTGTTGTCGATTTTGTTAAGCGATGATAATCGAAAAATTATTTTTTCTGTGACTTTGATTTCTATCGATTTCCGATATCAATCGATATTGATCGGCGGATTAAATCGATTAATATCGATTGATTTCCGATATCGATTTTTATCAATTAACTACGTCCGGCCAACTTAGCCACTGATCAGTGGTAAGTGGACTAACTCACTCAGGAGTGTAGAGCATACAATAGTGTAGAGCTCGACTTCGACCATCGCACCTTAAGTGCTACTGTTATAGATGAGTGAGTCTTAGAACTGCCAAAGACAAACTTGTAAATCGCAAAAAGTATGCTGAATGGAAGACACTTGTGCATCCTGTACTGAAAACAGAATTTCAGAAATGAATGAAACGAATACTTTCGAGCCACATGTTTTTCCGTTCTACTGCATGGCTGCAAAAGGTGGATAATCACCGAAAGACTTGGGTGCGAAACTAAATGCTTTTGCCATCTCATGCCATATGACCACGTTGAGCATCAAACGGCTAAACAAAGTCTCAAATGACCCCCGCAGAATCTACGATCTGATTGGCACTAGCCCTCTGCTATCTACGGTAATCATCTGTCAGCTCAAGTTCCTTGGCCACATTTTGTTCAAGGAGAAGGACGAACCCGCCAACATCTACGCGTTGTTTGAGCCTCTAACTGGAGAAGACCCCCAGGGAGACTGCATAAGTCTTTTTCCAGCCAAGTTCGGGATAGACCAATTCTCAGAGGATGACATCGTGCGCACTCAGCCAAGACCGAGCCAGTTGGAGACAACTCATAGTCAACTGCTTTTCGGTCAACTGATGATGATATGTTTTTTTTGGTCAAACCGGGTGACCGTTAGGGGATGTTTACCCATGCCTGGTTAACTCATTTGGGAGAGCGCCGATCTACTGAGCGGGAAGTCGCGGGTACAAACCCTGGCCGGGCCAACACTCAGGGTCTTTAAATAACTGAGGAGAAAGTGCTGCCTTTGCAGCGACATCTGCAAACGGTTCAAGTTCCAGTTTAAGTTCAAGTTTATTCAAAACACTTTAGATACATATCATAATTTGATCCTTGCCTGCAAAATAACCTAGCTAATCGAGGAGGGAAGGAAAAGTAAAAAATAAAAAATAAAATTACATTAGACTTTCTAGTCTTCTCGGATAAGGACGAAAACCCGTACGTCCCGTCTCATAGCACTTTCACTTATCTGGTTCTTGTGATACGTAAAAGAACCCACACCACTGTTCGAAAAGAGTAGGGGACTTAGATCCCGGTGGTGTGGCTAGCCTCGGAGTCCTGGGCTAGGTGGGTTATCTGTAAAGACAGACTTAAATAGGAGCCCCGCTGTGTTGTGTGTTCCGCACCATGTGGTGCAAATAATTAAATAAATAAATAAATTCATAGATACACCTCTGTTAAGTTTTTAGGTAGTAGCCACTAAGGGCCTGTTTACATGGAGGGACCCTAGACAGGTGAGGTAACATGTGGCGGGTCACCCCACCTGCCATAAAATGCAAACATGATCAAATTAAAATGAGAGACTATATGGACAGGTGGGTTACGTCACCTACCTGGGGTCTACCACTTCCATGTAAACAGTCCCTAAATTAATGTTGGATACTAATTGCCATACACCGCAGAATTATAATTAACTCATCGTGTACTTGTATTGTAAATTCAGGTTTTAATGAAGCACTATCAATTCCTCGTGCTGTGTTGATTCAAATGACACTGATATTAAAGGAGCTGAGTCATGAAATGTATCAAGAACCGCCATCGACAAACTGAGTGAAGCATAAAAATAACTTCTCAAAACCTGAAAAGACGGTTTGGACAATTATTGGATTTTAGCGCTATATAAATAAATTATTATTTATTATTATTATTAAATAACATAGTAAATACAAAAGAAGGCACCAATGGACAATTGTGGTTTTTGAAAACTTGTTAGCCCTGCAGTTTTTCAAACTAAAGTTCATTTTCTAATGTTTCTAAATGTTTTAATATAACGGTTGACAGATATATTTGTTTGACACAACTGGGTCGGAGTTTTCTCGAAGTGCAATATGGGACTGAAAACAATCCCACGATGCAATTTGACACAACACCGACCGAGTCTCACGAGCAAAATGAACAGATTCATTTTGCTGTGCCAATTTGAGTAAAGCTATCTATGTAGATGAACAAGGGATGTCAAATGATGTCACTGAAATGTAGGAAGAACAAAAGAGATGGCAACTAAGCCGAAGGCAATGACAGTCACTGGTGTTCTTACTACAGTTTCGACACCCTCTGTAAACAGTACTACATGTAGTTTCCGCAGTTCATTATCAACTCATACCAAAATCGAAAGAAGAGCTACAATAGACTGGAGATAGATGCTGCACTGATGACTAGTCTCACCATTTTATTGCCTCTACAAAAACAAAGAACAACAACAATTTACAAAATCCTGATTAAATTAGACGGGTTTACGTCCTTGGGGACCCCCAAGACAAGTTTCTCTGACATCCTCAATGGACGCATAAATTTGAAAAAGGAAAAGTTGCCTTCCGCTGGAATCATATAAGACGAGTTTCCTTCTTTGATAATTTTTTTAATTTCGAAGACGGATTTATGTATTCTTCATATGGATATAATTAATAAGGAAACGATTTCATAATAAATAGTGTCAAAAGGATAGCAAACAGACGCGAAAAAGAATCGCCGAGGACTGCCTCGAATTTAAAGGACTGTGCGCAAATCAAATGGGGCCATCTGTACTCCGGCTACCAACTTGTAAAGTCTCTTAGCTCCACAGCTTCTGGTAGTGCGATCTCCATTGCAGCGCAACTGTGATGCCGGACTATTCTCACAGAAACCACTTTCCTAACGGCAAGTTACGTGAAACAGTAGGGACCGTTCAGTGTGAAGAAAGGTGTTACTTACTGGGGCTGATATGCCAGGCTTTTAGTCAGTTTCCATGTTAGTAGAGGTCTCCAGTGGATAGCTCAAAAACGATCCTTCTCTTAGCTAATAGACAGCAAAAAGGCGCTGGGTCAGTTTAATGGACTATCATTTTTTTTCCATATTTATGCCTCCTCCTCCTTATGCCTTCTTAATTAGAAATGCAATATTTCAACCAAGTGTAACATAGTCAAGCCATTCGTCCCTGCCTCCCTCCCTTACCCCCCCGAGCCGCAGACGAAGCGTGAACTAGCAATTTATAAAAAATATCAAGAGCCTCTAAGTTTTTGTCATGCAGCAGAGAAAATAAATAGCCATACAAAAAACGAAGTTAGAGTTTTGAAGTTAAACAGTTGTATAACAAAAAGACTCCCTTTCTTCCTAGGAAATGTTCTGAAAGTTTGACTTTTGTACCGGCGTATAGTTATAGAGAGGCAACTTCCCGTTATAAAGGTACGATAGTTAATTCCTATTTTTATACAGTGTTATTTCTATGGTAACGACAGCAAAAAATCTTCGTTACACGCTTTAACCTTTATAATGACACTCTTGAACTCACTGGCGTTACCATTGCATGAAACAAGGCATGTATTTTAATCGGACAACTTTTACATAGAATTACTTTAAAAAGAAAGGCCACACCGAGTGATTTCCTTTTCTTATAAAACTTTTCATACTGCTAGCATCTCTCCAAAGTAAGTACAGTGCTTTTTTTCCTTTATCTTCCTTCATATTACGTGGCCGTGGGATGAAAACGGAAAAGATTAAAACTGCCCTTCGGGTAGATTTTCTTCATCCAACGGCATTCCGCCCTGCAGAGTGGTCTCGACAACATTGTGAGCGGAAGACAGCTCTACTGAAAATCGGTTTAAGCTGTCACTTTTGTCTCCGAAAAAAGGAAGGTTATTATTCCAACATATATTTTTGACTTCCCATAGTGACCATAGTCACGAAGAGTGGATATTCAATATGACGTGACGTAGGCGTTGCAAGTATATTGCATGTGTATTGTGATAGAGAGAGGATGTGAAGGTCACAACTCATATGACGTAATGACAGCGGTAATTATTGTGGGCATTGTTAAAAGCTTCCCGTTTCATAGTCTAATGTTCGTGTTAAATCTCGCTTTCGCGCCGTTCAAATCGTTTTTTCCTTGAATTCCACGAAAAGTTTCTGCCTCCACAGGTGCACAAGAATAACACAATTATCTTATCACCGTACATCCAATCAGAACGCTTTTTTTTGACATGTGATCGGACGCGTGCAGCTGAGGGGCGCATGGCGCGGTCGCGGACTTGAGGTGGCAACAAAATGGCGTCTGAGACCGAGATGGAAATGTCTCCCGGGTTTTAACGAAGGTCTCCAGATAATATTCACGTCTTATTGAACGACATGGTGTTGGAATTAAGGCTGCATAGTCCTGCTGGAGCGGAGCCTCTGGTATACTCATGGCCGCTTCTAAAATCGGTGAGTTTTAGCAACCGGTTTTTCGGTTTGTGTTTGTAATTCGCGAGCGAGATGGTAATACATCATGTTTGCCTCTCATATTTCTTAAACAGTTTACGCGATTGTCTTTTTTTCAGGATGGGAGAGATGAAGCAGGAGAAATTGTGGAAACTATCAGGTAAAATGTTTCATCAAGCCCTAATTTCCTTCTTGTGTCATTACAAAGAGTTGAGGAGAGCTAGTTGCAAAACGGTATAAACAGTTGGGAGGAAGCTTGACGTCCTCTCGTGTAAGCACCAGTTAATTTTTTTTCTTCTCCCTTCTTGTCTTAGATGGGTTTGTGCGGATTTCCCAGAGCTGAAACTCGCTGTTGAGAATTATGTTCTCCGTGAGTTTGATCCAAGCAGGTATGAAATCTATACAACCACCGCGCTTTGTTTATCATTACAAATTGGGGTTTCGTGTCCCAATGATGTTATAAGTTTATGTCTGTCCTGATACGAAACTTCGCCCAGTAATTTATTATATCTTACACTTTTTTCTCTCCTTCGTTGCAGCTTTGAGAGCATGTCCAAGCTTTGCGAGCGATATAACAGAGCAATTGACGGAATTTTACAACTGGTAAGTGAAATGCCATGTCGCGTGTACAAGTATCTCGCGAGCCACGATGTCAATTTCGCCCGCGGTGAAAATTTCGGCAGGGATTGTTAGAAAATGCACCAAATGTCGTAATATTTTCTGTCGATATGTTTTTATATAATCAAGGAGTAAATTTTACTTGCCAAGGCATTTTTATTACAGTTAAAGTTGCCGTAATCGTCTGATGGCGTTCGTGGAATACTACACATACCGGAAGGAAAGAAAAATAATCTTCCTAATTAAATTTACGGAGCGGGTGAACCGGATCTTCCGTTTGTATTCCGTCATGACATGTCATTCGTTTCTTGTACTTAAAATGCTGAATTTACTCTTCAACTTATTGTTTTTATAAAACTTACAACATTTAGAGTGATGTTTGCTTCACTGTAATTTTAAAAAATTCTGATTTAAACCAAAGTATTGATTCTCAATGAGTATCAAGTTCTATTTCCTTTCTTTGAGAGCTTTTACCCACACATCCTTTCTTTCCTTAAGCATTCTAAATACCTCAGACTCTAGCCCCGGGGGTGGGGAGTACTCCTGGGAATTCTTGGTGGGGCTGTGCTGCCTGGTTATCCAAATCCTGACCCTATTTCAAACCAAAAAATGTCATTTTCCACACCCGTCCATTTTCAGACCTGGAGGTGGTCACAAAACGCAACATATGTGTTTACATTGACAGAAAATATGTCACCATTGCCGAGTTTAGTACGCCAGCAAAAAGATTTCTTTCTTTCTTTTTCATTTATAATATTAAAACAACAAACACATTCTTACACTTCCGTAGTTCTCTTGTAAACCATACCTGATTCCAGACCAAAATGGGCAAAATCGCTACCCTTTTTCAGTCCAAAGTAGCGACAAAACCATACCCTTTGGGGTGGCACATACCTATATGGCCTATATAAGGGAGCCCCCCCTCCCCCCGGTCCAAAGCCTAGTTTTCTACTTGTTTCTCCTTGCTAGGTGCCTGTGGACAAATGCAAGCAAGCATTTGCCTTCATGGCAGGTATCAAAAAACAGTGGAAGTAAGGGAAAAGGGAGGGTTTGGGCCGGGAGAGAGGAAAAGGGATGCCGGCTATAAGAACCCTCTTTCATTTGTATGTCAAATTTCTTATTGGCTAAGCCATATTGAGTAACTTATTGATTTGTATCGAGCAAGATACTACTATTTTAACTGGGAAATTGTCTTTAAAAACCTCAATGTTAAGGTCTCAAATTTACCCATAACCCTATGTCACAAGGAGGACTTGTTTATATTTACATTATTTCATTTTTCTCACATCAGTGGAAAGGCTGTGCCCCTCCAGCGTGTATTAATGTCCCGCCTTCACAAGAACTGTTACGTCATATCATACAACAAGTTTATAGCCATTCTGTAAAAGATCCTGACAAGCTGAATGACTACGAACCTTTTTCTCCAGAGGTAGGAACATTTAACTTTAAATACAGTATTTGATTGTTGTAACAATGAGTAAACTGCGAAGATTTAAAATATATTTTGATTGCATTCACCTGCTGGCCTCTTAAGTGACTTTATTATATAACATCCATCAAACTTTAGGAGTTGTTTGATTTTGAGGTAATTAATTATAATAACTGATAATAATGTAGAATTTCCTTGATGTAGGGCTGGTAAGTTTGAGTGATGAGGCTGTAATTCTTGTAACCCAGAATTCCCACTCTGGCCTCTAGCTGTCGTTCCATTATTCACTATTAGTGAGTTCATGACACACTATGGCAGGAAGAAGAGGACAGCAAAACACCTGTGTGTGACAAACATCACAGGGCTATTACTTGCATGTTTTGTCGTGATTTTCACTTAACAGCAATGTTTTCTGGTCCGTCACAAAAAGATCTGTTTGAAGGAAAGGTGAAAAGTTGTTTCAAACAAAATTATTGTCACGCTTGTCACACAAGGTTTGCTGTCTTCTTTCCTCTACCGTCCTGTTGCATAAGTTCACTATTAATTGTTTAGTTACATGTGATATAAGAAATCTGTTCCCCCTAGGTTTATGGTGAAACATCATTTGAACTTATCGCACAGATGATCAGGGAAGTCCCCATGAGCCCAGATGATCTGTTTATCGATTTAGGAAGTGGTAAGTTGAGCCCTGATTGTTAGTGTCATAATAATTCAGTTGACAAAATGTAATGGTATAAAACCTTCTACTGACGTGTGCTTTGGAGACTGCAAATAGCTTGACATAGCTTTGGAGTGTTAAGGGCCACAGGACCTTGGGGCATACAAGGGGTCAGCTTATGAGTAAGGTTTATCCAGGGTACAGGGTCGCCAAGTAGATGGAGAATAGCCTACATGCAGATCGTAAAGCACAAATCCTCTAGAAATACTTAGATGGGATGTTTAGCCTGTCCCAGGGAGACCTGTTTTACATGGCTATTACTCCCAGGTGTGTTACTGCCTTCCCCACTGGGTATTATTAGCTACAAGTCCATCATAAGGTTTTCTATACCCTACTGCATTATCTAGGCATTATGTTGCTGCTGTCTGTGTTTATACAATAAATAAATTTTTGTAGGGTGGGAGGGACAGTGTGAAACAAAGTTGTTTTGTTGAAGGAGACAGTGATTGGAGACAATAGTTGCCTGACCTCACACCCCCACCCCAGCTCCATGTTAAAAATCCTGTCTCCTTTTTGGGGTGGAAATTAAGATGAAACTCATACAGCATTGTGCATTGTATCAAGTGTCGCTATACAATGTAAGTATTTCCGTTTCAAAGCTACTTTTAAGTTGTTAGTAATGTGTTCCCTTGGAATTGATTGCTGAGATTCAAACGTTTTCTTCATTTGTGAGGCAACTATGTTATTTCAAACTCAGCTGGAATTGTTTGATATGATTAGGGGTTGGTCAAGTTGTGCTACAAGTTGCAGCATCAGGAAATGTGAAGGAATGCTATGGTATAGAAAAAGCAGAAATTCCAGCAAATTATGCTGAGGTAAACTATGCAGTGTGTGTTTATTATGGACTTTAAACATGTAACTGGAAGAATTAGATTGACTAGTGTATCTTAAACTCCCTAATACCTTTCTACACTTTGATTCTTGTGTACAGTAATTTTCTCTAAGATGGACACCTTTGTGACTGGCCTTGTAAGACTGATGTCGGTCTCGTAGAGAGTCAAATAAAGGGAGTAAAGAAAAGTAGGGACCAACTCTTGATGTCTGTTTTACCAAGGTGTCCACCTTATAGAGGTGTCCAACAAGAGGGGGTTGACTGTATTTTTGTTTATATTTGACCAGTGATTTCCACTCTCCCAAACCGAGTTCACAGTTTCTTCATAATCCTTGAACTTCCCAAGAGCAATCAACATTATTATTTTCTCCAAGCAGTATCAATGCCTGATTAAGAGACAAGGTTACAAGAATTAATGAAATGATCACCAAGAGAAACATGTTTTGATCTTTTGATCAAATTCTCTCAACTAATATTATTTAAGGAAATGTATGGTGACCAGTCTCGAGAATTTGTGTATGGATATTAGGGCCTGAAGGGTTTAAAGCCATTTTGCCTTCTTCCCCACAAATCTTGATCAAAAGTCATTTTTGAAATTGTGGCATTAGTTCTTACTTCAGAAACGAATAACCAAGAAACAAAGAAGTTTGCCTTCAAACTGGAACCTGTGTACAGAACATGAACATGGATAATTTACAAGCCTTTCATAATAGATTTACGAAAAGAATTATTCTAGGTAACAAGGTGTAACCGTCTGTAATAGTTGAATCCCTTAGTTTCGATCGTAACTAAATGTTAGTAATTTTAATATTGTTTAATCTTTTTTGAGGACCTCCCTGAAAACCACATGTTTCAGGAGCCTCCTCTATAAAGATTATTTATTATTATTATTATTATTATTATTATTAGCAGGACTCTTTATAATAGCAATACACCTCCTGCTGTGTGCATGTTTAAAAAAGTTATTTTATTGTTTGTATCTTTAAGGATATGGACAGAGAATTTCGTAAACTGATGCGCTGGTTTGGCAAGACCCACAAGCCTTACAAGGTTATTATTATAGTGAACATTCTACATGTACAGTGTAGCTTAATGTTTTAGGTCAATGACCCAACTTACACTTTGTTTTGTAAACAATGGCGAGAATTTAATTAAGGTTACAGTATGCAAGATTGTTTTAGAAGGAAAGACATTGCTGTTAAATAAAAAGTATAACTTAAAAGTTTCAGTCTGCTTCACCTGTCTTCAGATACATGTAGCATGGATAGACCATCTCACTTGCTTGTAACAAATAGCTTTGATTACAATTTATTACAACTTGAAAAGATTTCTTTGGAATGAAAATAACTTTTCCATCTAAACCAAGAGAAAAGTAAGGCATTCACCAGTGATGATTTCTTCTTTTCTCCTTTTCCCATTTGTGTCCCTCCCACAATACCCCTCATGTTCCTTTCTTGTGTTCAACAGCTTGAAAAAGGTGATTTTCTTGTGGCTAAGATGAGAGATAAGATACAGTCTGCAGGGTGAGTCTTTTTACACAGAAAATATTTATCTTTGGGAACAGTGTAGATAAGTGGTGAGCACGTTGGACCCACAATCCAGCAATCCAGGGTTCAAGTCCCTCCCTGACTGGTAGCTGGAATTGCTTTTTGATAGACCTACCAAGTTCAAATCTTCAGCCGTGCTTGTAGATACACATGCAGCATCTAATTTATTGCCTCCTGCCAGTTGGGTTTTTCATCCTGTTATGCTCTTTTTGGATTATTTGTACATTAACTCTAGGGCTAAGTGCATGTCAATGTACCCTTTGTCAAAACATGAGAATGGTCAGTAATTTAGCCCTTTAACGATAACAATAAACGGTACCAGTTACAGTTATGAGGGACCTTCAGCAGCATTAACAGCAACTGAAAGAAAACACTAAAACGCAATATCGTTATAAAGGAAAACAACAAACCTGGATTTTTCTTGAAAAGCTCTGGGCCTACAAGTTATATTTCTACATTTTTACAACATCTTGAAGACCTATGGCTATGGTTAAAATAATGTATATTTTGTACTGAAATGAGATGACATCCTCACTGTTTATTTATTTACTTTAACCACTGTAGAGTTGTGTTTGTTAACAACTTTGCTTTTGGACCAAGTGTGGATCATAAATTGAAGGAACGATTTGCTTCTATGAGGGAAGGTATGTATCAGCAATTACTCTTATTCAAGATGTTTGTCTGGTATTTCAAATGCAAAAAGACAAAAAAGATTTGCCATTGTGATGAACAAACCAAGAGAAATGGATCAAAACATTATTTTCTGTTGTTTCTTTTAGGTGCCAAGATCATTTCATCAAAAGCATTCTGTTCGTTAAACTTCAGAACAACCTCGCGTAATTTATCAGGTAGGTCATAATTTAATGTATATTTTAACTTAAGTTGCCAAGTTGACACTTACCAAGCTTGTTCATTTGGGAAGTGTTATCCGCATGCACTTTTGTTTAATGTAAACATGCTTTTGGTTCGACTTTTACTGTTTTTCCAAACCTCCTTACAAATGGGTTTCCTCTAATAAAGTTAACAGTATGTTTGTGTCCTACCTAAACAATAGAAAATCACAACAAAGACAACACTGTGATTCAAATTTTCCCTTAGTTTTCTTTTTCCTTTACTTCCTTACCAGACTTGTGCAAAAGTTTCTGGCAGCCCCCCTTGATCATACACTTTTATTACTTTAAGTATTGAAAAACGTTTTTATTCTCAGACAAGTCTTTCTATCTTTTCTATTTTGGTTTCTAGATATCGGCACTATATTACATGTTTCTGAGCTGAAGCCTCATGGACGAGCGGTCTCTTGGACAGGAAAGCCAGTCTCATATTTTGTCCATGTCATTGATAGAACTCTGGTGAGATTAGATTTTGTGTAAACCTGTTTTATTCAATCTCCAGGGTGACCCTTGTAGTGCTTCCTTGTAGGTCTCCTCTGGGTGGTCACACTACTAGATTTGTTGATAGACTGCTGAGACAGAACTATACTTTGCATGCATTTTTTGTTAAATAACTTATTGAAATCAGCTCGAATGTTTACATGGCTCCACAGGCGCATGTAATAAAAGATTACCTGTTTCAACTCATATGGTCAACTCTGTCATAATGGACACCTTTATAAGACAGACTTCTTGCTAAAACAGACATCTATAGTTGGTCCCTGCCTTTCTGTTCTCCTTTTGGTTGACTCTCCATACAACGGGCACCTCTCTAAGATGGACACATAGTGCAGGTCTTAAAGGTGTCTGTCCTCAAGAGAGTTGAATGTACCCAGATACAAAGTCACTGACCAACACTTCTCAATTAAAAAACTTTCACTTATAAACCTGCTTTCAAACCTGTTTTTTTTTTCTCTTAGCTTGAGCAGTACTTTGCAGATCTCAAGAGAAGAAAGGTTAGTTATGCTTATATAATTAGAATTACAGTCAAACTGCACTTTATGGACACCAACTTGTTACAGACACCTAAATATTATGGACAGTTGCTTTGTCCCTAAGCATGCCCTTACATTTCCTCTAAGTTCAACCTGCTTAACATGGACACCCGGTTAATACGGACACTTGTTCTAAGACACCCTCAGTGTCTACATTAACAGGGTTTGCGATTCACGTCTCGCGAAAGGGTGGTAACTTTCTTTTGAGCGGTACTGCATACATAAAGATATAAAGAGTGTGAAAACAATGCAAGCAAAATAACTATCGTTGTGCACTTAACCTGATAAACCTGCATTTTTACAGGAAGGGAGAGATTTTAGTGATACAAGCAGCTTAAGTGACTCAATGGCCAGTGCACCAAACTTTGAAGAACTGGATGATGTTATCTTTGGTGTTTCAACTCGTCATCAGTGGCACCAGCTCATTAATCAGATAGAAGCCACCAATCATGCGAATAAAAGGGGCAGTAAAAAGACAAAGAATAAGAATAAGAATGTATTACAGGAGCAGAACAGGGAAATGTTTCCTATCACAGGCCAAGAGCAGGATATGAAGGGTGGAGCTAAGGTAAGTTACAGTAACTTAGGAATATAGCAAACACCTTGGTATCATGAGTAATGTTCTTTGCCATAGTTGCAGCAACATTGTGCAATATAACCCCCATGACAGGCAGCCGATATGTCCATAATTGACTGGTTAATGACATGTACAGTGTTTTTAATAGGTATATGCTATAGCTATAGTTATATTAATAAAAAAACACAGATAAACCAGTCTTAATACACTTCACGGCATCAATCAGGTTTTTTTCTGGCCCCAGTTTCAAGTTTCAGCCGTTGAATCTCCATTGTTGGATGTAAACCTTCCTCTTTGACCTCCACTGGTCCAAATTTTGTGTGACACAGTGACAACGTTTTATGAAACTATCTAAGTCATCCCTTCATTTTATCCTTGGTCTTCCTCTGTTCCTTGTGTGTTTCCACGACATCCAGAACATAATGCAGGTTGTCCAACAGTAGTCTATTCTTCTCACCACATGACCAGCCCAATTCCATTTGAGTTTGCTTATCGTTTCCATGATATCTCGTACTTTGTTTTTTTTTTCTGGATTCATTGAGCTGTTTTAAGATCTTTCCCACCAGTTGTTCAAAAATTAGACAGAGCTATCCAACCTCAATAGTTGTCAGGAGAATCACCATAGCATTGTTTTGGAAATTTCTTATAAACATCTCAATTTACTTTGTAGGCCCATCAACCAACATTTGCTCAAAAAGTCCGAAGGAAGTATCAAAGACAACAAAACAAGAAAGCCCAGAAGCTAAAGAAAAACTCAAAGAATTCCAGAGGAAAAGCAAAGCAAAAACCAAAACCAAGAAAAAACGCTTCACTAACCAAGGTGAAACCCAAGCGGTCGACATCCAAGGCAAGTCAGAAAAGATACAGTGACTCTCTTGCTGTAACAGCTTTGGAAAATGCTACTGTGGCAGCATTGCAGGTTGGTGGGGAGGGTAGAAGTAGTCAGTAGAAAACGTTTTAAAGTTCCTTATAGCAGCGTGCAAAGAAAGTAGGGTCCGATAGCCCGAGGGGGTAGTGGATTTTGCTATCGGGCTAGTGAATTCTGTTATTACCAGTAACTTGCCCAATAAGCAAGTGAAGTTTTTTGAGGAATTCAAATTACAGACTGAAGAACTGTGAAATTAATCTGCTCATCAAAACGTTTTTTGGGGCTAGTTGAAATGATGTTTGGGCCAGTAAATGTTAGCTTCAGCTTCCCTGAATGGCAAGCTGTAAAAATGACTTTCTTTGCACCCTGCTTATAGTGTAATTTGATTGTAAAACATTTGAGAGAAGGCCTTCCCTCATGAGTAGAAGTGGTTTATGAGCCTTCTGTTTCATGACATTGTCCTTTGATATTAATAAAGTAACAAATTATATGAAAGAAAATATGCCAACAAAATAAAAATAAATAATAAGGATTTCTATAGTGCCATATCTGTGCACTCATGGCTCTTAAAAACCAAAAAGAGAGGGTGACACTAGACATTTCAAGAACTAATAAATCCATGGCCCTCTAACCTAACTGTCCTCAACTTACTGGAGACAATTTCCAGATCAAATTGGAAATTTGGGATGTTAGTTTTTTGGGAGAGGCAAAAACTAGGGAAAAAAGGGAACCAACAACAAACTCAAACCACATATGGCATCAACAACGGGACGTGAAGCTGGATTACATTGGTTGAGGCAGGTGCTTTCAACGCTGGACCATCCCTGTCCCCCCGATGTGCCGTAAATCCTCTATTAATCCCCCCTTACTAATAATAAGCCCCTCCCCTCGTCACCTCCCTTCTTATGACAGACTGTATTGATTTAACACAACTGTAATGCTACGTGTGGACTGATCTGGCATGGCTTATTCACGTGCTGGAAGTACAGATTTTATTTTATTTTTATGTTATTTTATTTTTTTTGTCGTTGGTTGCATGACCTCCCAACTTCATACACTTGATCTTTTTCTCTTTCCATTCAAGGTTTTTATGAAGAACTGATACCATCATCCTTAATAAATTAACAACCCCTGCCCTCCTTAAACGTGCTTGCAATAAACAGGCTCCGCCTGGAGGCTTAACAGGGGATTTCCAGTAGATAAAGGATTAGGAGAGGATTGCATATGACGTGTATTATATTTAAGTAGGAAACAAAGTGCAATATTAAAAAACGTTTGCCTTTTCTTGTGGTATTTCTTACCAGAGCCTTCAGAAGAGGAAAGGACAGATTCAGGGAATGAGAATTTCTTCAGCGTCACCTCCACCACTCCCTGGCTTTAACATGGAGCAAAGCCTTCCTGCTCTTGAGCACTTGTTGGGTAAGTTTAATCACTGACCCACATGTACATTGTTCAGTCATTTGTTTTGCCTATCATTCAATAGCCTGCATCATAGGCATAATCTAACCCCAGTTAGTAACATCTGCAAAGCAGTGCTGAGATCCTTGTTCGGGGCCGCCAAAGGATTCAATGAATTACTGGAAGCATGTTATGAACCTCCCTTCAACATGATTAGCCAACTGAACAATTAGGGCATTTTGAATAGGCCGTCTATGGCATGTACTCAAATCCTGGTTCACAGCTGGGGCCTAGAACGACGATTTTGGCGCAGGTTTCAGACGAACTTAACCAGAAATTTAGTTTCGTGTATAGTGTAGGCTAAGCATTCTATTCTCTTATTAACACTTTCACCCCTAAAAGGTGCCCTTTGAACAAATTTCTAAAAAAATCCCACTTTCTTTTCATAAAACCTAAGAAATATATATTTTTGTGCAATAGATCTTTCTAAGAGTTTTCATCAGAATACAAAATGTAGTAACAGCACAGGATTTCATTCACAGATTTAAATGTTATTAGAGTGTCAAACAATATTGCCATAATGTGGTCTTGGAGTAGAGGGATTAAAGTGTCCATTAGCCCTGTAAATTATAGTCATTTAGCGAGAAAATAACCGCATATTTTCTTATGCACTTTTCACTCAAGCTAAACTCAACCCTACTGCATTTGTGTTGTTGTCCGTGTCATCTGTTGTGATGGAGTATTTTTGTTTGCTATTTTACAGGAATTTTTCGTTATCAATTTCTTCATTTCATTTGTCATATGAACTCTTCTGAATACAAGGAGAATCTCAAACGTCAGATTGAAGAAGAAAAGGTGAGTGGCTGGAAAGAACAAGGCTCCTGACCTGGCTCCTGTTTTTTTGTTTGTTTGTTTTTTCACTCTACGGATTTGTTTTGTCATCATTTTTGTTTCTGCTTTTGTAACAGGCAAGAAAAAAAGAATTAACGGGAAAAGTGAACCAAGCCGAAAAAATAGTGAATTCATTGCAAAAAGAGGCTCTTGGCAATCTCCAACAGCGAATGAGTGAGGTATGTAGAGTTTTTAAAGAAGAAAGGAATGCTTGGGACCTGTGTAATGAACATACTACACGCATTCTATGGTAATACTTGTTGGCTTATTGTGGCACAGTAGCTTTAGTACTGACCAATGTTGTCCAATGTTGTAGATTGGCCTATCTGCAAAGACGCCTCGAGAGTTACTTATGAAGGCTGGAGAGCTGTTGGGACAACACAAAAAAATGAAAGACAAAGTAAAACGCCTTGAAAAGGAAGTAAAACATCTGGAAAAACACAAAAATGGTGGTCATCACTCACATGTAAGTGAACAGAGCATTTTTTAGTTATGACATTGCAAACAGTATCGTTCTAATAGAGCACGTTGGAATTGGATGACAGAGGCGTTTTGATTGAAAAATTTCGCGCCATGTTTTCAACCAATAAGGAAAAAAAACCAAAACCAATCGTAACCTGTCCACCCGCGTTTTCCCGCGCTTTTTACTGGCTGCGTAGTCTACCTCGAATTCTGATTGGTTCATGTCATTTTCTTTTGTCCCTTTTCATTGGCTGTATCCGTGTCTTTGATTTTGGTTGTACGACACACAATTGAACGCCACTCGAAAACGTTTGAATGGCAGAAAGCGCAATATTAATCCATTTCTTTTCTGTTTGTTAGACCAAAGAACGTAAGCCCACTAATGGAGAGGTTGACGTTCTCCTGAAAACAGTAAGTCTATCAGACCGTCTAGGAAGAAAGCCCCGGCTACTCACAAAAATAATTTTTAAGTGGGATAGTAAATCTCTCGGACTTGTTTCCGAACACTTTTGTTTAATAACTTAAAGATAAAGCAGATGGCAGCAAATATAGGTGCCTACCTCAGTGATTTAAATTCTTTCCCTACTCGGTCAAAATGCAGTAAATTAACCGCGGTAGGATTAGCTTAGTAGGTAGAGCGCTTGACTGCAGAGCGGGAGGTCGCGGGTTCGATTCCAGGAAATGAAGTTACTACCTTAGCCCTGCAAACGGCTAGACCAAGGAGACGTAAAAATAGTGTCCCCAATTAGTATTTTAGTACTTAATACGTTGACACTCAAATAAAGTACATTTTTAATGACACTTTCCAGGGCCATTAAAACAAACATTTTCCCAAAGGAAGCCTTCGGACACCCTCAGTGAGTGGGGGTGGGGGGTGGGAGGGGTTGCAACTCCCCTCTTATACATCCCCCAGAGTGAAAGGCGTCCCTCTAGACCTAACCTTTTGTCGCCTGCTTATTTTTTTCTCCTTCTACTATAACTCAAAAATATTTCCTCAATCCCTTTCTTCATCAGGGAGAATCCCCGGCTAAGGTTCAAGAAAGCCTCATGAGTCATCTGTATGAAGAGTTGGCAAAACGAAAAGCATTACTGGAAAAAGTCAACAAGCTTCAGAATGAAGTTGACCAACTTGACTCCAAATCAGCATTAGATAATAAGTCCACCGTTGCTCCCACGCCCTCTGCAAGTGTATACACGTCTGTAAATGCAAGACCTTCTGCGCAATCGATAACTACTGTCGCTTCCTCGAGTTCCGTAAACTCCAGACCTGCTGTATCGCTTGCCAAACCGCTAGTTCCTGTTACAACAGTTTATAGCTCAGCGCCGAGTGTCGTTTCTAAACCCGCCACAGTCATGTCTATTCCGTCAGGAACACTGGTTAATCCTCTTCAGCAGCATTACATTACTACTGCACAGCCTCAACTTGTCAACACTTTCCAGCACTTGTTGAGACCCTCTGTGGGGGTGCCAGTACAGATGGTATCTTATATAGCCAAGGATGGCAACCCTATCAACAGTACGTCTTCGTCCAAATCAAGACGAACCAAGCAGAAAGGAAGTGCAAAGAAGAAACCTAAAATGGACCAGCAATCTCAGCCAGTGTCCAGGGTCACCCAGCCATCCTCTACAGCACTTTTGAGTCCACAGCTTGTGGCTTCCCAAACTACTCCCACCAGCTCTACATGGCAGTCACCAAGTGTTTCTCGCGCCCACCATTCCCTTATCACATCTCCAGTCACGCCTGTTAACTCATCATTTCATTCTGGAAATGACCGATCGGGTCCAGTCTCTTTGGTGACGTCACCCGTGACGCCGACTCCTGTCAGGTTAGTGTCCAGTGATTTATCTTCCGTGGTTTCCTTGCCATCGCGGTCAGCGTCCTCTGGTGGCCCAGGCAGTGAAGTACCACCGATGGTGTCATTTGTGCAAAGCGGTCTCTCCTGCATCTCTCCCTTGAGCCCTTTATCGAGTATGTCCAGTGCATCAGTATCTCGCTCTCTTACCTCCGGTGCTACTCCTCTCAGCTCTCTCTCAGCATCAACACAGAAGTACTTAAACACGTTCACGACACAGAGCACTGAAGCTTCACGAAACTTCACTGCTTCAACCAACCAGTCGTCATTTGCAGGTCGAACGTCATTTCTCAATACAGACTTATCAACAGACCACAGTGCTGGCATCAAGTTACTTTGTGATCTGCTCAATGACACTCTTCCTGAGCAGCCCCCTCCCCTGGTGGCCACGTCACTAGCTGTACGATCGCTAGGAACTCCAACATCAGTTACATCAGCGTCTTCAGACTCTTCTGTAGTTGAACAAGGAAGACATCCAACCACCCCTCCCACTCTTCCAAGCAGGTCTTCATCGAAATCCCCGAGGACCCCTCCCTTGGGAAACACTTTAGCGCGTCCTTCTCCCGGAGGTACTACATCTTCCTCGGAACAAACACCTGTTCATAATACCCCTCCTACTGCAGAAGCTCCAACTGCGGCGAAGAAAAGAACCTCGCCATTTACTATTGAAAACCTGGTTAGTTCAAACCCAGAAAAGAGTAAAAGTCCAGGTGACGCTGGAGAAAGAAACCCCAGCCCTCCATCAGCCAACAGCAGACGCAGCCCTAAGGGGAAGAATAAGTCCCCTTCTACAAACTTCAGTATTGCGCACATCACCCGTGATATGAACCCGTCTAGTAAGGAACGTGTTCCTTTTGTGACAGGACCAGTGGGCTGTTCAGTTCCTACATCTGTGTCACCTTGCCAAGAGAAGCAGAATCAGCGAAGGATCTCTCCACCATTGGCAACGATTACAAATCCTGCACCCGATGGGTCTGTCGTGGTATCTACTGGCATAAAGCCTTTGAATGCAGTCCAGAGTTCCATAGACCAAAAGTCCAATCCCATTCCCAACAATGAAGGAGAGTTAAAACGAGAACAATTGTCTACACCCGTGGCCAGAGTGAGTAGTGCATCCGCCCATATGAACAGCTATGTGCCATCGAGCTTGGTCCCAAAAAGTTCTGCTTTAAAACAGGATGTTATTCACTCCCAAGGTCAAAATCCGATCAGCAAATATCATGAGGATCGTAGCTGTTTGGATTCAAAGCTAATAAGCCCGACTCCTGATCGTATTCAATCTCAAAAAGCCCAGCCTGTTTCTGATGTTCCCAAGGACGAAACTGCCTCCAGTGAAGTTAGCTCTTCTATTCCTTCATCGACTTCAAGCCCTGAGCGTCACAGACCAGATGCATCGACTCATGCCTCTGAAATCATCTCCGATGTTCCGTTAGATATGATTCCTCTTCCGAGCGGTAAGAGACCCAGCCCTACCAGTTTGTCAGGAAAAAAAGGTTCCGCTAACAAGAAGCGCCGTTCTCCTGTTTCGCAGATTCCAAAATCTGCAAGTCCAGATTCCGAGGTCACCAGCCTCATGACTAATGAGGCTCTTCCCCAGTCTCCGTCGATCTCGTCTTCCGTTTCCAAGGCGACAGCGGTATTAGAAGGCCAGGCACCTGTGTTAGTTGATAGCAATCCCTGCTCAGCACGCAGTCCTATCCCAGTAGCCCCTTCGTCACTGCTACAGCCTCAATCTGGAGTATCACTACCCTCCTTTGGAAGTGTTTTTTCGCTCCCCAAGGAAGAACAAACTGTGACATCAAAGAAATCTCCAGCTAAAAGCAGGTACGGGATTGTATTTTGGAAATCCTAGGCTTTTTTGGTATTCGTAAAGCCCCGTGCAAAGGGAAGCAACACTGTTGGCCAACAACTCCCAACATTGTTGGATGTTACGTGTTGCGTCCGTTTGCCCGAGCTTAAGGGTGTTCAAATTGGAAGATCGGCAGACAAAACCACGTGATAGCACTGATAAAGAAGTTTCATCAGGGAATTTCGTCCACAGAATTACATTTTAGAGCTATGCACAAGTAGTATCACTTGAAAGTACTGCTGACGAGGTTTCATTTAAGTGGTCATAGACAACATCGATACTAAAGTTATTATTTAGACCAAGGAGAAATCGCCTTGAAATCGCCTTTAGTTTACAGTCGCGATTTGCCCGCACCAAAAAATGGCCTCTGTAAACAGGCCTTTAGAGTTAATTAGTAGTTTTCGTTTGATTCGTTATACCATAGGTTCGCCTTTACTCGCTAAAACCAGAGAGTGTGTTTTATCAATAGTAGCGTAAGCGTAGCAGTTAACTGATCAAAACGTACCAATTGTTTATTTTATGTATTTTGTTTTTTTGCGCAGCAGTCATGTCTCTGAGATGCCAAGCCAATGCACAAAATTAGCATCCGCCGAGCCTCCCGCGAAGAAACGGAAGCGTAAAGACAAGAAAAAGATGCCTGGTAAGGCTGCCAAGGGAGCGTTAAGCCTGTTAATACAGTATGACAGTGACAGTCAAAGCTCGTGTAGCACCCACGGCACCGAGAGTGATGACAGTTCCGCCCACAGTACTAGCCCGGTCAGCGGTACACTTAGTCCAGTTGTAGTGGAAACAACAGAAACTCCTCGGAGCCAGACCGCCGGAGCACAGCCAGAACAAAGCCAAAAATTCTCCGCCAAGAACGTCTCGCACATCAACGGTGCTACATCACCAAAGGGTAGGCAAAAAAGCACGGTAAAGAAGCAGTCCAGCGTTGGGAAGTCGGCTGCTGAGAGGAAGAAACCCAAAGGAAGAGGAAACCAACGAGGAGACGTGCTTAACGCTTCGCCATTTGTTAACCTGAATGACACCGTAGGTTCAATGCAGCAAATAAAATCCGCAGGACCTAGCGTCGCGGTGCCTACCAGCTATCAACCCTATCCGCCCGCTTACTCAAGCTACCCAACTCCAGGGCAACAGGGCTATGTCATGTCGAATTTCTCACTCCCCACCGGTACACTCAATTTTACCCCAGGGGGACATCATCAGTTCTCTGCAAGCCTTCCACAGTATTACTCAGGAGAGGCGCACCCGGCTCCTACCGGGTACGGTACTTCACCAGGGGGATTTTTCCCCCAGTGGCGAACAAGTTACGCCCCGATGCCGTGTCAGCCACCTGCATTCAGTTATTCAAACAATGGCAACAGTGGTAGTGGTGGTGGTAAAGTGTATAGATAAAGATTAGAAGGAGTTAATTGTTAGTTAGTACTTAAGCACTTGTTGTGGTGCGTTTTCTTGGTGCCTTCTAGAAACCAATTGTAGATGGTGTTCTAATATAAGACGATACAAACAAAAAAAAACTTACCATTTTCGTCCTCAAATTTTATTATCGCCTTGTACAATGTACAGCATAATAAACAGCACCACAAGAAAGTAATGCTTACTAGCTTTTATGTCCCATTTTAGGATTTTAGGCACAGATTCAAATATCAGAACAACTTTGTACAGCATAGTAAACAGTACCACAGGAAAGTACTGCTCAGCAGCTTTTATTTGAAAGGTCGCACTTTAGGATTTCATCCACAGATTCAAAAGTTAGAACTACCTTTTACAGCATAATAAAACAGTACGACAGGAAAGAACTGCCCAAGAATAGTCACACTTAAGGATTTCATCCACTTTGTTTAGCATAACAGACTGCACCACCTGAAATTACTGCTAAGTAGCTTTCACAGATGCAACAGGATGCACACTCACAGCGAAATAATCGACACCACAGGAGGGGTAATTCCCTTAAATATAAAATGATTCTTAGAGGGATTCTTAAAGTAAATGCTTCTTGCAGTTACTTGAATATGCCTATTTATACTACATGAATATACGATAAAAACAGTATACAAAAGTTTTCTCTTTATAGGTTGTCTATTTATCATGGGAAAATTGATTATTTAGGGTGAAACTTTCTTTGCTTTAGAAGAAAAAACGTTGAAATTTTAATATAGTTAGTATGAAATTTTGAAATCTTTGTAATGAAATTCCTGTTTAAGAGTCGCTTATTGCGGCTCTATTTCTTTCAGTCGTTTTATCTCTTTTTAACTTATGTAAATATGCTTGATCTAGGCGTTCATTTGGCAAGAAAAAAACTTTTTCTAGATCGTTGCAATTCTTTGTTGAAATTTAACGTTTGTTATACTTTATCTAGTTGGTCCGTTTTCTTCACTTGAATCACCAGCTATCAGATTCGCATTTAGTAAGTATTGCAGCTTCAATCGCGAGTCGTTCCCAAGAACCAGTGAGATTTCTGCTGCTTTTTAAGAGAGTTCTAGTGTCCTGATTTAACCTTGCAGCAACCACCTCTGCCAGTCTTGACGTTTCTTCTTTTAATGTGAACTGTCAGTCAAGGGTTTTTAGAAAAAGAATGATCACTGGATAGAATCATGTTTCAACGGAGAGCTACGTTTTCGATGTTTGTAAGTCAACACGTACAGCGGCTTTTCACTAAGTGTTGCAACAACGGAATTGACTTCTCTAGCCAATCACAACGCACGCGGGGCAATGCAATGAACCAATCAGAACTCACAGAGAACAAGTGCAGCCGATCGGCGAAACGTGTAGGGAAACAGCAGTTTTTAACACGCAAAAGTAAAGCGTTTCATTCTTATTATTTGGATGCAATGGCCGAATGAATGAAAGCCGCTGTATTCGCTTTGAAGGGGTCCACAGATACACTATGTCAGTATTTGAAAATCCGCAATGAAAAAAAAGTTAAGCGCGTCTCCTAGATCTAGAATGAGTTTTCCCCTGAGTCACTCGGAACTTGCCAATTGTTTTTATCCTTAATTGAGACCCTGAAAGCACACCGAATGTTTGAAATGTTGGCGTTCGCAGAACGACCACTTAGTCGCCGTTCGAGAAACGAGGCGACCATCATATGTCTTCTAATCGTTTTTGATTCTAGAGGCTTTTGACTAATGATGGTATTAGGGCGGGAGCTTAAGCAAAGACGCCGACACCGGTGTCGAAAAGGTCTCCTAAAAAGTGAATTCACGCTGTTTTAAAATTTCATCGCTCTTCATCCGTGTCGTTCGATTTGTCAAATAATAGTGAATTATTATGTAGTTCAATTTAAAGGACTGTATCTAAGTTTTTAAAAAAGTAGGAAATCGTTGTCGTGTGCGCTGGTCCTTCAGAAACGTGAAATTAGTACAATCGACGACGGCAAAGAAATGTACAAACAAGCGTGATCCCTGCACGTGCCAAGTTTTGTTTTGCTAACGTAAACCTATCGCTTGTTAACGTTCTCGTGTCCGTCATCTTCTTTGCTTAAGCTCCTTATTATGCACGGTCAACGAGCGGCTTGGATCTGAACTGTGTAGTAGATAGATAAAAGGGATGGATATCTTAATTCTCATTACCTTCTTGTTTGGTTCTGCGTTTGACATTAAGAAGGAAAATAGATGTTGACATCTCAGTGTGCGGCCTACCATAGAATGTAGGTAGTAGTAGGAATAGATCAATGTGTTCTCCTACACAAGACTCGCGTCTCTTTGAGAGTATGGACAGTTTCCCGCTTTTTTGCGCCCCATGTACGAGAATCCGGGAAATCGTTGATTGGAATCCGGAATCCTGGGTTTTGGAATCTGGACTACAGCTTAAGGATTCCAGAATCCCACTAACGATTGGAATCCGGAATCCAAGTTCCACTGACAGAATCCGGAATCCAGAATCCACGGTGTGGAATTCAGAATCCGAAACTGTCTTGGATTCCCTTAGATGGGTCGATACTGTAATCTTCTGATATAAAAGACCTTTCACTCTCAAAGAAGCTGGCAGGAAAGAGTAAAGGTTTTATAGAACAGGGTACTTCTGTTGACAGACATATATGCCTATTGATAGTGTACAGAGGACAAATTTACCTTGAGAAAAGAATTACGCTATTTTTTATTAAAAACTTTGTTGCAAAAGCTCTAGCTTTGTTTCATTGTGTGGATTGTACTAGTGGCAATATTATAATGGAAGTTGGGAACGGTGGAGATGCATTGTTACGCTCAGAAAAAGCTTCAAACATGGGACCGAACAGATAATAATAGGAGCTGTGGAGAACGGACACCAAAGTTGAATTTTCCCTTGTATAGATTCTATTAATCTACCGTAAATCCTCTATTACGCCCCCTGTCAAATACCCTGCCCCCCACCTTTTCAGGGGAAGAAAGCTAATAAGCTCCCCCTCTCTGTAAAGCCCCCCCTCCCCCCTCTCTCCCCTCCACTAACTATTCTTCACTAATAAATGATAGACTGGATTAATCAGTCACGACTGTAAAACTTCGTGTGGACTGATCTGGGATGGTTTATTTACCAACTGTAGGAGCTGCGACTTCTGCCAATTGAAACTCTGATCCTTGGCTACATGGCCTGCAACCTTCTTGTACTTGAGCTTTTCCATTTTGTATTGTAGTTCTTTATGGAGAACTGATACCATCCTCTTTTCTAAATTAAATAAGCCCTGGCCCCCATCTCAAATAAGCACCCCCCCTCCCCCTTCCCTCAATTGGGCTTGAAATAAATAACCCCCCCTGGGGGCTTAACAGAGGATTTACGGTAAGATCTGTTTGACCGATAATGATCACGTTTTTTTTGTTGCTTTCCGGCTTTCTGTGATTGAGTTCGAGTTGCCACAGGCGCCTATATTTAGGGCGTGTTCGATTGAGCGTATTCCGGAATAAGACTTAAGGCGGATGACGGAATCAATCAGGAAATTGAGTAATTGTAATTCTCAGGGGCCAAAAACCTTGTACCAGAACAATTTCAATCATATTGCATTAATTTATACACCTCTCGACTGCTATTATTGTAATAAGTTAAAAGAAATTCAATAACTCAAGCGAAAAGGTTCTCATCAGCTGTCTCATGGAAGGCCGAGAAAGCAAACTTCAGAAGTTCCTGAGAAATTTGAAATCTATTTTTTGGGGCCCTCATAAGAACCTTTTTCTTTGGAGACATTTCATAAAAATTATCACATTTATAGTCCTCGAAAAGTGTAAAAAATGAGAATATGTAAAGAATGCGATATGGCTTAAAATATTCTGCTACAAGGTTTTTGTCCAATGAAAAGTAAAATTACTTAATTTCCTGATGGATTCCGTCTTAAACTCTAGAAATCGATTGCTTTGGCGTTCATGTCATTGCAATATCTAAAAATCTGCTTGCAATGGAATAATCCGATGCATGTAGATTTTAAATGGTACAAAAATCACGGTAGCAGAGATTTGTAACAAAACGTTTGCGTATTCTTATTCCGGAACAGGATGAATCGAACGCACCGTTGATATGACCGTCTTGCAGGGAGCTGCAGTCAACTATACAGGTTAAAAATTTCTTTGTAGAGACAGAGTCACCAAGATTTACTAGACCTAACTAAAAATCTAACGGAAGAGGTTTTAGCCAACCAAGGCAACCCTACTGGTCTTTGGGAAGGTGACCATGGATAATAGTGTATGAAGACGTTTAAAAAATGTGTTGCTCAGCCTAAATACGGGTAAGAAAAATAGCTGAAAACGTCCGGTCGACTTTTTCAAAGTTTGACTGAGCAATTTAAGAAAAACTGCATACATATGCTCCCGCAAAAACACAACTTATTAGATGTTTTCAAAGGCCATTTTGTGCCGCATTATCAGCGATACAATCTAGGTCGTAGAGTAGTTAACATGAAAATTAAGTTTGAATGAATTGTCATGACACTTTCCCTATTTAAGTTTTTATTGTGTGGAATTAGACTATCTGCACTGCTAAACTTCCCTGTGCCGCATAATAGCTTGACGATGATTCCTACCATTTTTAGGTAAAAAGTTGTCTGACCGTTTAAATGAAAATTATTGATCGGTACTTTTATGGGGTACAGAGTAGGGATTAAAGGAGTTTTCAATTCTTTTTGTGATTAAAATTCTCAGTGTTACTTATCAAATCCATGAAAACTTTTTCCGTTATCGAAAAATGATTAAAATTTACATTGTTAATCTACATTAATGTAGAATTACGCCTTTTAGATGCAACTGAATGTTAAAGCTTTCGACTGGTTACAAGGAAAGTGACTTCAACAATTAAACACTCAGCTAGTATAGTTTCCTTATTATGAACGTTTGTGGTCGTCTTTGTTTACATTTGGTAACCTTCTTACTGTAAATTTGCTAATGAGCTCCATTTAGCCTTGTCCGGCTTGATTTAACTGATTAAACATTTAAGTCTCAAATCGGATGTTTTATACACGTGCTTTGAAAATTTCGTTAACTTTGACTTTTCTTTAGGACAACTAGCTTAATTAAGAACAACAATTGTAAACAAAAAGTACTTCAATATTTGTTCTTCCGTTAAAGTCCTCTTAATTATGCACTTTTCTTTACTTCAAATCTAAGCTGAGTTTTAACTTAAGTTTGAACAGCAAGTCAGTACTGCTCTATGTCCTGGCTTCATTTAGCAAACAGAAATTGTTATTTTTCAGTAACTTCCTTTGTAAATAACAAAATGTCTCGATTTGTTTACTGTGAGTCCAAAATTCACAGAAGATTAAGATTTCTTACAATTCGGCGATCTTAATTACTTTGACAATTGGCAATACCAAGTGGTAGTTTAGTTTTACTAAAAGTCGAAACAAGAGAGAAAGTGTATCAAACCGACAGCTCTGGTAAGGTAACTCTAAACTTCCGTTATTTCAAAAAATATTCATGGGCGCCTTCAGTTTGTTCGGCAGTGATTTTTTCTTTGGGAGAACACTTACAAAGTGGTAATAAGGCTCAATTCATTATCAAATTTTAAACGTTTTGATTCAAATTGTTGCCCTCTGTTCATATATGGTGGTTTTTAAAAAGCTATTTCTAACAGGAGATGTTTCAATAAGTTGTATTTTAAAAACGTATTGTTAGCGACTGCGGCTAAGCTGACTTTCTGTGGTTAAAGCAATTCACTTAGTTTCACTGAAAAGTTGAAAGTTGGCAGTCCAGTTAGCCTTCCAGCTGTGCTTTTTGATTAAAGGTACAAATTACCATCATCTCTAACGGTTCAGGGGTCTGCAGCTACGTTCAACAAAACTAAAATCTGTATTTTCATTGAGCGTCAAAGCAAGAAGGTGGCCCGAGGTTAACTGTTTTAACATACCGAAAAAGACTATGAGATCGATCTGCTATTGAAGTCCCCTTTTTCCAGAAATAACCTAATCCCAGAAAGCAGCGTTTTCCTGACCACATTCACGGAGGTATAAAAGACTGAAGAGAATAGTAATATTCCAGTGTATCTTCAGTTTGAAATAGATTTGCACTTACTTTCGTTAACTACGTTAGTTAGCTGGTCTGTTTTCGACCTTATTTGCCACTTTTTGGGCGAACAAAGCTGACACGTTACGGTAAAGGAAATCTGTTAAAAAAAGTTACTTGTGTTTATTTCACAAATAGTTTTTTTTGCGTACTTGATCAGTGATGGCGACTTGAACTGGGCTTTGCGTTCAGTTCTCAAATGGTTTCTGCGCTACATCAAGGACGTCAGCGTGCAGAGCGTGCTCTATCGCTTAATTTAGCCCTGATTAGACTAATGGCTTTACTGTAAAGGGGGAGGTTATCATGATGGCTCAAACCCAAAAACGTATTTTAACAATGGCAACGTTTTCCTTAACGAGTTCTTTCATTTTTAAGCACAATAAAACCAACCTCTTCGAATGTCTAGAAAAGGGAAAGCCAAGTCTAACAACTTGAAAAAGACGTTCGGCTTATAACTTTTTCCAGTTGTGTCAATCGCGTCCAAGACAAATCCGTGTTAAACTAAAAACTATCCTTCGTTGCATCAGAGTGCATCTACGAACTCATTCTTTTGAAATAAAACCATGGCTCTCTTATGAGCATTCGGATATTTTAATTTGGTCTTGTTTCCACTTTACAAAGGGAAGTATACATTTAGATAAAAACGACCATTAATATTATCGGCACGCAAATGGGCTTTTGATGTTTATTTATACAGAGTATTGATTGAAAAAAATATTTAATAATACTATATTTACTTCATTCTATCATGTAAAAAAATCAAAATGTTTTAGGAGGAATCCATCCAGGTAAAAAAGTATTATCGCCACTATATGACTTCGTTACAGTATTTAAATCTTCAAATTGTTTTTAATCAGATGACAGTTAGTAAAAGCTTTTTTTGTCGTACCGTAGTAATTACTAAGAGAGACAAAATTCTGTTGTTAGAAATATACTGCTTATAGTTGGTATATAGTGGTGCGATGTGTGCACGGTTTGTTCAGTACAATACATGATATTTTCCAGTGGTTCGGTCTTTAATTTGCACTCCATACTCTTGAGTAAAGCCTCGGTAAAACGGGCAACAAAAATGTGCAACGTGTTTTGGAACATTGTAGCAAAACGAGTTGAATAGCGATGTTGCGCATTTTATCACCAACGTTCAAACCTGTTAACAACCAGATTTGTTGTAAGATAGGTTTGATATGGGTGGTAAAACTCGAAACATCGCTGTTCAATT